AGTGATGGTCAATTTGCATATTACTCTTTTATTAGATAGGATAGAGGTCTGCTACATGGATGGGGGCCAGCTGGTTTGCCCTGAAGTGTGTCCCGGATCAGAATGGGGGTCCCCTTGGGGAGGGGTAGCCTAGACGAGGGGCCCGTGGTGGTTTGCAGGCCATCCATTCCTCCAGCGAACCAAGCGGAGGCCCTGGTATCTAGCTTTGAGCAGAGCAAAGTTTATAGCTTTGTGGTCGCCTGATTGCATTGCAGGGAACAGATTCCCAGTGTCCATGCTGGTACCCAGGCTCAAATTCCTGTAGGAGCCGCAGCCCTGTGTGAGGGGCAGGTCTAGCAGTCCTTATGGCACTGCAGCAAGCCTCCATGGAGGGGGATGAGCTCTGTGACTCACAGAAATCTGTGGCCAGGATTTCTGGATTCTTGGTGTCTCTGGGTCTGCAGCTGTGGTTACAGGTCTTTGTCCCTAGTGGCTGTAGGATCCTGGTTTGCATCTTAAACCAGATTGGGTGTTGCTGAGGCTAGGATCCTAGTCTCAAGCAGTTCTGTTTTTCAAGGTGGCATGGTCTCTGTGCTTGCACTGGCTGCCCCTGGAGTGTGTGGTGGCAGTGGAGTTTTGCTATCTAAGACTGCCCAGTTTGGCAGCCCCTTGGAAGACCTACAGGATCTAACTATCTATAGTTCATACACACACACACACATACACACACACACACACACACACACCACACACACACACACCACGCCCACACACTCCTCTATCACTCCCTCTTTCCCTCCTCCTCTATCACTCCCTCACTCTCTCCCTCCCTATCTTCTTGCAGGTCACCATTTTAATCTCCAAAATAAAATATTTTTTTAAAGGAAAAACTCCCCTTTACAAAAATAAGGTAGGAGTTTAAGATATCACTGTAATGTTGCATGCTTCCATTTCATTTATTTCCTTTCTTGGTGATTCTTTTTCTATGTAGTGATTTGAGAGAGATAGAAAGGGAAAAAGGAGAGAGAGAGAGAGAGAGAGAGAGAGAGAGAGAGAGAGAGAGAGAGAGAGAGAGAGAGAGAGAGAGAGAGAGAGAAAGAGAGAGAAAGAAAGAGAGAGAGATTGAGAGATATTTATTTTACTTATTTATGTATTTATTGGTTTAATCTTATATGTGCCCTGACAGGAATGGAACCCATAACCTTGGTGTATTGGGATGATGGCCTAATAATCTGAGCTACCGGCCTAGGACTAAGATATCATGTTTTCAAACTTTAAAGTTAGATATACAGTTGAGCCTAGAAATTTTTACATTAAGGTGTTGAAAGTTTATCACTAGAAATTAGACTTAAATAATTTCTATGAGAAAGCTGGAAATGGTGAATCAAAAAATACTTATTAGAGCTTTACTCTTCTAATATTATCATGGTTATTTCAGCAGAAACATTCAGCAGAAGTGGTACAAAAAGTAGAGTCCTGGCAGCACAAAAGCCACCATTGTGCTGCTGTTGCTGTCCTAGATTTCTTTATTGGCCTGGGACTGCCAGTGCATTTTAATGCACAGCCTGTAAAATCTACTGACAACTAAACTATAAACACAAGCCAACCTGCTTATGCTTTCTATTTGAGAATAATGCAGCTGACAAACTATAATATCAGTATCCTATTGGTTTCAAATGAAAAGTAAAACTTATCTGTAGGTCTCCGGACACCTAAAAATGAAGTATTTTTAAATATTTCATTTAAACTATTAAGTATTTTTCTCAATCTATTCCTGTAATAATTGTTCAAGAATTTCAGGCTATTTGAAATATCAATTTGTGATTTAGGAAAATGTTTAATACTTAATTTTTATTTTTCAATTACACTTGACATGCAAAATTGTATTCGTTTCAAGTATACAACACAGTGATTAGACATTTATGTAATTTACATGATCCCCCCAATATTTCCAATATTCACCTGGCACCATAGTTATTACAATATTGACTATATTCTGTATGCTATACTTTACATCTCTGTGACTGTTTTTAAATTTGTTGATTTTTAGAGAAAGAGAAACATAGATTTGTTGTTCCATTTATTTATGCATTCATTGGTTGCTTCTTGTATGTGCTTTGACTAGGGATCAAACCTGAAACCTTGGCATATTGGGATGAAACCCTAACACCATAAACTATTTAGTTAGGGCCTCTGTGACTGTCTTTATAAGGGGCAATTTGTACTTCTTAATTCCTTTATCTTTTTCACTCAGTAACTTTTTTCTTATATCAGGTATTTTACATAGAGATGTAAGTCAGTCATGTATTAATAAATGACATGTGATAAGAGGAAAATTAATTTGAGCAAACTGATTTTAAATGATGTGACTGTCTGGGGAAAAAAACCAACACTAAAAAGGCATGGTTTATATCTGAAAGAGGCCCAATAAGGACAAAACAATGTATGGACAAATATTTACAAAAGGCAAGTTGATAAGCCTTCTACTGTTCTCCAAGCCACGGTTTTGTTCAAACAATTTAAGAGTGCTTCTGGGCATTACACTGAAAGGTTGGTTTACTTAATGGACACAGACAATAGGGGGGGTGAGGACTTAAGGTGGGGGGAGGGGGGGAGAAGGTTGGGATGGAGGGGTAATTTCAGCTCTGAATGAGTAAACCAGAAGTGTCTTCAGGTGAGGTAATGGGGGAATAAGGACACATATCTAACACAATAATCAATAAAGAAATTTTTAAAAAAATGACTCGTTATTTCAGAAAGGCGTATGCAGAAAATTAGCTAAATCCTCCCCTTTCCAAGCCTCAGAAACACCAGGTAATTTATATCAGGAAAATAGGTTCCGCTCCAAAAAGGAAGAGGCACTGTGGCCCAAATGGATCATATTTGGCAACTCGGGGCTTCCGGAAGAGTCCAGTGCTATCATTACTGGAGAAGGAAAAGAGATCCTTGGAATAAATTAGTTTAATTTTGCCATCAGATTCTTTTGTAGAAAGCAGTAATGATTTCAAATATTTCATTAATACTGGCAAGGCCAATAATATTTTTATCTTCTAAAATAAAGTTTCAAATTTGTTTCTATGAAGGTACTTTTAGACTCAGCAGGTATCCCTGAAGATACTTCTGGTTCACACATTCAGAGCTGAATACATTATTTGATATTTATATAGTTTATATATACTCTTAAGGAGCTTTACATTTAGAAAATGCTGGGTTAATTGTTGAACATTGCTATGTTTAATATCCAACCCTCTATTTTTCTATCCTTTTGATAAGAAGATGTATTATTGCCTCACAATTAACTTTATTTTCAGGAAAATCTGATTGCTTCCAGTGTTTCCCAAACTTTTGACATATGTGTACCCCTTCTATAATTTTTGTAATGCTGAGTATCCCTCGTACTCATGAGAATGTAGAATTAGACACAGCTAAGCACAGTGCAGTGCATATTCTCACCATACTCTGGTGCAATGCGTACTTCCACCAAACTCTTCCCGTACCTCTGGGGGCACAAATACCACACTTTGGGAAACACTGACTTAGACAATAGGTGACTGTATCTTGACAATTTATCAATAACACCTCATAAATTATTAATCAATTTACAGGTGATTACAACTTTCATTTCCAGGTGTCTATGTGAAAAGGAGTATTTTGAAATCAACCAAATTAGTGAGCAGGGTAGTCAGAATGAAAATAGCCCCTTTCTAATGGTCTTCAAGAACTCATTTACAAGTTGTGGTTATGTGTCCCACCCACTATACATGTAATATAAAACTTTATTTTCCTTTCACTTAGAAAACCAATAAATTGTGTTTTGGTCCTGGCTTATCTTTAAAGGGAATCCTATTTTGGTTTGCATACTTTCAATTTAACTCTTTACCTCTTTTACTGATTTATCCCGGTGAAAATCCTGCAGATCTTTATAAATCCCAGACATCAACTAAAATCTTCTCTGAAAGCTGGCTTTAAGTACAAGAATTCTTTTCGATCTGAAGGGCGTAATGATTACACTTATAGGCAGTATAATGAAAAAGCATCAATGCAGTTTATTTCAATACTTCTAATTTATGAGAACAACTTTGTAATGCTACATCAGAAGTCAATTAACTTGGAAAGCGTAATACGACCCAACATTTTATTGGGACTACACAATTTAGCACAGTACTAGGCACCATACTAGAACAAAAACACACACAAAATTGAAGTATGAATGATGACAGACATTGTTAAACTCCAGGGGATCAATGAACCTCCCAAAACTATATACAAAATGTTGTGTAGTGCATGCACTTTTCTGGGGAGAGGTTCCACTAAACTTCAATAAACTTCTAAAGGGGCCACACAATACAGAGCAGAATTCTAATGCCCTTTCCTATATTTTCAGTAAAGAAAGCTGTGGATGGACCTCAGGAAGTTCAAGTTTGCACATCTAAGAGTTAATTTTCATGGAAATTGTAGAAAACAAATGAAAGTAACTTGCTAGGACTGGGCAGGAGAAAACTCCAAAGTGCTGTTTATATTAGTTTAGTAACGTGTTCTGGTTTGAAGAGGAGAAATGGGGACCTAAGTGGTAATATAAGCTGGAAGCAAGGAGACTCCTATAGAATTTTTCAAATCCTTAAACAACTAAAATCTTAAGTACGAATAAAGTAATGGCAAGAACTTAAAATGCAATTTAATGTTAAGTCAGATTTTCAGTTTCTGCCTATTAACAACTTATTTTTTATTTCTGAATATCACAAACTTCAATCAGAATACTTTAACAAATATTCTGCATGCATTTAACAAATCTGACAAAGGACGAGTAACCAGTTTAAGTTATATTATACTATTAAGTTTTAACTGAATAGCCAATTAACATATATTTGAGATCATTAAGTACAGGTAACAATGCAAAAGTAAATGCATTAATCTGATGGCATCCTATCACTATGCAATGTTTATTAACACTAGTAGTAACTACCCTGGAGCATAGGTAAAATGTAGATGGAGGAATTTCCCTCAAAAGCAAGTTTAAGGGATTAAATATCATCATCATCATCTTCTTCATCATCATCATCATCATCTTCATCATCACTACTGATGATAAAGCTGTTGCGTGGGGACAGAGCACTTTCTTCCCGAACATTGCCCATATGACACACAGTCCCTTTCTCATCAGAATCATCAGACTTCTCAGAGAAATCATCTTCGATCATGTTTTCATCTATACCTTCTTCATCCTCCTTTGCATTTACTTCATCTTCTTTTTCATCTGAATATTCAAACATCTTTTCATCTGCATCTTCTTTGCTCTCTTTTCCATCAGACTCATCATCAAAAACTTTTTCATAACTATCTTCTTCTCCATTTTCATCTGATTCTTCATCATCAAACTCTTTCTCAGAGCCTTCCTCATCAATAATTTTTTCAGAGCTGTCATCATCAAATTGTGACCTTTCAGAGTCATTTTCTTCTAACTCTTTTTCGAGAAAGCTTCCATTAAAATCATCAGAGCCATTCTCATCAAATTCTTTTCTGAAGCCATTTTCTTCAAATTCTTTTTCAGAGCTATCTTCATACAGCTTTTCAGAGTGGTCTTCTTCAGCTTCTCTTTCCGACTCGTCTTCTTCAGACTCCTTGTTGGGGCCATCTTCTTTAGACTCCTTTTTAAGGCCATTCTCTTCAAAATCACTTTTGAGTAGCTTCTTTTTGGATTCTCTTCCAGGGCCATTCATGTTGGACTCATTTTTAGGACCACCCTCTTCAAACTCTTCTTGGGGGCAGCCTTCCTCAGACTTTCTTTCAAGGCATTCTTCTTCAGATTCTTGCTGGGGGTAGCATTTCTCAGCCTCTTTTTTGAGGCCACTTTCTTCAGTATCTTCAAATTCTCCCTCGTCTTCTGATTTTTCAAAATTCTTTTCATCTACAGGCTCTTCAAATTCCATTTGAGTTTCAGCTTCTTCATCATTCATTTTAGATGTGCTAGGGCACTCTGAAAAATGCCTTACTCTAGAAGGCCCTGCCCTTTCTGAAGCACAGATGGAATTTGAACGCCGAAGACCTTTATTGGCCTCGGGAGACTCAAGGAAAGCCTCCCATCCTTTTAGCCTTTCCTCTCTTTCTCTTGTGGTCTCCTCCACCTGTGCATAAATGGAAATTGCCATTAAAATAAGTTTTAGGCTAAAAGTAACAACACCTCCAAGCATTACTAATATTGACAAAAGTATCCCAATATAAGGCATTACTTCTTAGGAAATCAAAGCAATTCCCTATCTTCAGTTCCAAAGTTTACATCTTGATTTACTAGAGTTGACCTTAAGATCATTTAAATAAATTCACAACACCAAAGTACTGCATAAATGTCTCACCAATTAAAAAGTTAATATATTAACTCTGCCTTTAAAACACAAAAAGGAAGAGGAACATTTTGATTAATATGTTCTTTTCTTATCACTATTCTGAGCAAGCCTCAAATTTCAGACTGGTAAAGTGAAAAGTTGAAAATTTTTCTTTCTATGCTCTGAATACAAAACAGTATTTAAAAGTACTACTATTAGCCCTAACCAGTTGGCCTCAGTGGATAGAGCATCAGCCTGAGGACCAAAGGGTTGCGGGTTCGATTCCCTTCAAGGGCACATACTTTGCAGGCTTATCCCCAGCCTGGGCCCTGGTCAGGGCTTGTGCATGAGGCAACCAATCGATGTATCTCCCTCACATCGATATTAATCTCTGTCTTTCCTTCTCTCTTACACTCTCTCTAAAAATCAATGAAAAAATATCCTCAGGTGAGATTTTAAATTAAGTAAATGAATGAATGAACTACTATTACAATATAATACAAAGATTGAACAAATCCAAAACTTATCTAAAGGACTGCTAGTTCAGTGTTTGTTGGTAATAAATTATGTTCACTTGATAGTTGCAGAACTTACCTGATAATCTGTAGTTCCATCCCATACTTGGGCAGTGATTTGACGACCACCAAACCACCGTCCGTCCAGAGTTTGAATACAATAATCAGCTTCCTCTGGTTCCCGGAAGGACACAGAGGCCACACCATCTGGGTGTCTCTAGAAAGAATAAGGAAGGAAACAAGAGTAAATGAGAAAATTCAAAATAAAACATACACATTTGACTAGGTAAGTGGGAGTTCTTTTTTTCTTATAAATTGATTAAATGATACTATGTATGAAGCGTTTCTTCCCTTTTACCCCAGCCAGTAACACACAGCTAGCTGCCTCTTCAGCTTAATCTTTCTAGCAAGAAACAAGCATCATGTCCTTAGAAATGTTTTTGCTAATAACATTATCTAAGACAGGCGAGACATTGTTAAATGTGGACTATAAAGTTGAATAGCCCTGGGATTCAATCCTGGCTCTGCCATTTAGCAGCTGAATAATCTTGGGAAAGATGCTCAATCTCTAAACTTTCAGCATTCTCATCTGTAAAATGGGTATACTAGCACCTACCTACCTCAAAGGACTGAAGATTAAATGAGATAACATGTGAAGTAGCTTGAAGTATGTAATCAATAAATAGTGACTATTTTATTATAAACATGTCAAGAGGGGAACTATACATAGGCTAATAGATGCCTACCACTAGATGGAAGACCTACTATATTAGAACGTTAATGTAAAATTTAGGGCATACTGACAACTGGTAATAACTTTTAACTGGAAGAATGACTGTCTCAGAAATCATCTGCCCAAGCCATGAACTTACATCAAACAGAAGGAGCTTCCTAATTTGTCCAAACTTCGAACACTCTACTCGAAGATCTTCTCTGATCTCATTTAGCACCAATGGATCATCCTACAAAAACACAAATTCCGATAATTATATATCCTGCTTTGACATACTAACAAATAAAAAAGGCTTTAAGTTATTTATGTTTGTCTGTAGTCTACAAAATTAAAAAAACAACCCATGAGCCTAGATTCTACTATATACTTTGAGGGTCAGGCCCACAGAGACACTGAACAAAAAATAAGATTGTCTGTAGTCACTCTGACTGACCGGCTCTCATTAAGTTCAGCAGAACAAACCAGACCAAGGCAGGTGGGCAAACAAGGACAGTACCAAGGGTTTCTCTACCTGTGAACTCTGAAGTCTACTACTGCCCTTCCAGTTGGGTGGCATAAGCACATGAAAAGAAAACTTTCCTTTATGTGCAAAGATGCTAAAGAGAAAATGTTTTATCCATTCAGGAATGAAAAGCTTCTGTCTTGTGATTAACAGGGGTTTCATTCAATCATTCTTATACATTTTCTTCAGATAGATACCAAGGACCTATTAATGTATTGAGAGCCTATTGTAGTGTCAGGCACAATTCTAAACATGGGGAATATTAATAGTAAACAAACATGGTAGACAGAGTCCTGGCTCTCATGGAGCACACTTTGAAGCAGAGGAGATCTAATTATTTCCAATAATACGAAATGCAATGAAGGAAACAAACGGTATAATATAAAGCTCTGTAACTCTAAAATAAAATTTACACTAAACCAATAGAGGTGTTTTTTGTTTAAAACAATCAAAAATTTATAAGCATGAAACTTCTAACCTTAAAAATATCCACTGGAGGGAATTTCTAGGAGTCAAGGCAGGATAAATGTGGCTTTTGGAGGAAAGAATATTTGTTAAGGTAGGAAAAGCTAAATATGGCCAGGGTGATAGACTCAAATAAGGTGTCTCAATGAACAAGACAGGAGGCAGAAGCAGAAACAAAAACAATGTAATTACACAACAGACTCCTTACTTGCAGAGCTTCCAGATACTTTGAGTTAGGTTTGCATTCATATTCACATTCAAGTGTTAGGAGTATGCAATGTGTGTGAATCAAGGACCTAAAGTCAGATACTAATAGGTCTCCTAATTTAAAAAATCAATTATTACCGGGAGGGGGGGTAAAATGTGATTTACTGTAGTTAATTCTGGACTTGTACCTAATAGACTAGATATCATGATCCATCTATGCATTCCTTTTAAAGCCCCACTTGACAAGAACTACATTTCAAAAAGCATTCAGTGTGCGTGTGTACACGTGTACTTTTAAAACATTACTTCATTATCACTGCAAGTCTAAAGCAGCTCTGCTATATTTCAAGATTCTTCAGAATTTCAGTCAGAAGAGACATAAAAAGTCTTTAATAGACCATATGTATCTTAACAATGATCTCAAAAGATAAACGGACTCCATAGGTGCATAGCAAACCCTATCATATCACAATTCACCTGGATAAACTTCAAAGACCAGCCTGGGGCCCTAGTATTTAAGGGGAATAAAGCGATATTTCCATTCTGACTCTGTTTAAATGCACAAAAGGAACTAGAGGGGGCATGGTTGCAACTAGATAATTCGTAAACCTGGAATTTTCACTAGGAACATTTTTCTCTTATGCGTAAGTTATCATTAATTTCAGAATCCAGGAAGATAAAGACTTCTTCTTCCACAAATAATTCCATTGGTCTCTGCCAAGAGAGATAAGAACAAGAGGCAGAGTGCAATATGAAGGTACCCTGATGGCAATTAACATTCCTTAAAACTCTAGGCCCTAGCTGATTTGGCTCAGTGGATAGAGCATCAGCCTGCAGAATGAAGGGTCCTGCTTCAATTCTGGTCAAGGGCACAAGCCCCAGTAGGGGCATGCAGGAGGCAGCCAATCAATGATTCTCTCATCATTGATGTTTTTGTCTCTCTTTCCCTCTCCCTTCTTCTCTGAAATCAATAAAAATATATCTTAAAAAAAACTCTCTAGAAGCTCTTCCTTTATTTTCTGTTCCTGGAATTTTACCTGAACATTAATATTATAATGTTCTAACAGCCACCAAAGACTTGTGTAAAAATCAGGTCCTGAAAAACAACCTTCAATATTAACACATCAGGGGCTTTATTTTATTAACCTAAGGAGTTCTAAGACATAACTTTTAATACTAAAATGAAGTTTTCACTTCATGTGTGAAATTGGTCCTCCCCACCAAAATCAACCTGTACTTGCAGCTCCCATAAATCTTTTAATGATTATATTTTTTATAATTTCCCATACCAAGTAGCTGCCATTTGGGGTCACAGTATGGGTATAAAACAGTCTTACCTATGACACAATTAAAGAAACACTGAGCTAAACATGGGAAAATCTGAAAAGCTTGACTGATTCTTGGCTATGTTTTCCTATCCTGAGGACTACATAAATGTTCAGGATGTAACATGAGAAAGATGGGGGGAGGCAAGCTTGGGCTCCCTTAAAAGAAGGCATATCAATGTTTTAATCAATAAGAATATCGTACCCTACCTCAAAATCCATAGGATGAAACATATTTTTGATGATGACAACTCGTTCATGGCGCATTCGGACTGACCCATCCTTTCTTTCAGGTCTCCAATCCAATTGCCTAATGCAATAAAGTAGAAATAATCCTTTATTGATTATTTAAAAATTATGATTATTTGATTCCAGAACAATAATGTATATTTTAATCACCATTCTATTCAGGGAACTTTCTGGAATAAAAACAACAGGCAGGTGAAAGATGGACCCAATATATGAAATCCCCAGAACATATAGGGTGGGGTAAAAGTACGTTTACAGTTGTTCATATGGAAAATACAATAATAAATAAATAATAATACAAGAATAAACTCTGTGTTTTTAATACTCACAACTGGAAACCTATTTTTGCCCCACCCTGCTTTTTTTTTTTTTTTAGAACTGCTGTCTGGTTACAAATATTCCAGTGACATTTTTGGAAAATTGCTAATTATTCACTATGGTTGAGTATCTAGGAAGATATACTCAAGCCAAAAAATATATCCAAATTGTACTGGTTTTTAGGCACTTTATGGTTATGACAAACTGCACTGAAATATGTAAAACTACTCATTCTTTGTTATAATCTTAAATGTTACTGTTTTTAAAAATTTTAGGTATCTGTTTTAACCATTTTTGTAAAAAACGATAGGATATCACCTAAATGCTTTCATAATCATATTGTCAATAGTTTAAGCAGTGTTAAAAATATTATCAGAATTCTGTGATAAAGGTACTTATCACTTTGGCTAATTTCTTAAAACTAGCACACTTCAAAACACATATTAAACAAATGGGTTAACAGAAACTTGATAGCATTACGTATATACTCCTAATATATGTAATTCTATATAATAAAGAGGTGATATGCAAATTGACCCTCATACCCTCACACAAGATGGCCATCCCCATGTGGTCAAAGATGGCTACCACAAGAAGGCCAGCAGGGGAGGATAGTTGTGGTCCATCAGAAGATGGCAGTTGGGGGCAACCAGGCCAGTAGGGGAGGACAGTTGGGAGCGACCAGGCCTGCAGGGGAAAGCAGTTAGGGGCAATTGAGCCAGCAGGGGAGCAGTTAGATATCAATCAGACTGGCAGGGGAGTGGTTAGGGGGTGATCAGGCTGGCAGGCAGGCCAGCGATTGGGAGCCCAGAGTCCCGGATTGTGAGAGGGATGTCCAACAGTTGGGGAATCAGGCCTAAACCAGTAGTCAGACATCCCCCAAGGGGTCCCAGATTAGAGAGGTTGCAGGCTGGGCTGAGGGACACCCTCCCCCACCAGTGCACGAATTTCGTGCACTGGGCCTCTAGTAAGTTATAAACTGAATGATAAAACCTACCATTTCAAATTTCTAATACAAACTTCTATGTAAAAATTTAATTTCTGATAAAGCTGATTTCAATACACATTGAAAATAAACTGATGACTCTGCTATACAAGCCTAAACTATCTTGTTTAATCTAATGTTCAACAACTTCTGAAGAGATAGCTTTGTTATCTCATTTAAGTCCCTGTTGTATTACAAATGAACAACACAGAAAATGAAAAACACCACTGAGAAATCATCCTGTGGTACAGAGTACTAAGGGTTCCAGATGACCTAAAGTTCTTTAAAAATAATTTGTAGATATATTTACATGATATCCTCTATGAACAAAACTAGGTGGCTATTACCAAAAGCATACTCTAGGATATTTATAATAATCTTTTGAAGAAGAAAAGAACACAAACTTTTGTTGCTGAGACAGCTTTTTCTTGTAATCCTTGCACTTCTTCTTCTTCTTAGAGGCATCATATTCTCCTTTCAGTTGAAACTTTGCCACCTCGACATGTAATCTGTAGCCTCTAATTTCATCTTCATCCAAAAGTTTTAATGCAAGATCCACAGATTCCCTCTTTATTAAGGGAAAACAAGACAGTCAGAAGGTACACACTGAAATAAAACTTCACTAGTTGTTTTTTTCTTTTTTTTTTTAGATGAATGATGACTATATATACAATAATAATTTAAGCATAACTATCTAGTTTGGGATAAAGAACTCTAGAATGCATATCAGAAAATCTGCATTCAAGATATAGCTACCTCCAACCAGCCATGTGAACTTGGGCAAGTTATTCAAGATTCCTGAACCTGTTTTTTTAATTTGTAAAATGGGAATAGTAATGCCTTCATAGTAAGTTTTTGACAAAATTAAATGGAATGCATGTAAAGGATAGTGATTGGCATATAGTTGCTCAATAAATAATCATTATTAAAGTAGTTTTGTTTCTTGGCATTTCGATTTCTCTACATTCTCCTTTATGGTCTAACTTAGAGGTCAGAAAACGTATTTTGTAAAAAGCCAGTTAAACAATATTTTAAACTTCGTGGGCCATGTGGTTTGTGCTGCAACCACTCAATTCTGCTGTTAAATATGTAAGTATACATAGACAAATGCAGCCATTTTAATAATAAAAAATGTATTAACAACATCAGGCAGTGGGCTGGAGTTTGCTGATCCTTGGTCTAATTTGTTCAAATAGGCAAATAAAATATTATTGGCTTTCTTTTCCTTGTGGATTTTGAAAATGTGTTCTGAATTGATTATATGCATACACTCTGAAGGAGCTCTTTGCAGTGAGAATTCTTTTTAAAACAAAAGCACTTTGGTCATATAACTTACATAATACTTTGACCTGACAAACAAGTGAATAACCTTACCAATTACAAACAGGCACAGTCTGAAATTTCAGTCTTCTTCATGTACTGTTTTGAATAGTTCTCTTATTAGTAATCATCAATATAAAATTATAGCCCTGTTTCTTGATTTAAAAATGGAAAAGAAACTTATCTGACCATATAACTAACCTTCAAATAACAGCAAAGCCCATCTCCTTTAAGATTTCCTTGATTATCTTTGTAAAGCTTGACTTTAAATTCTTCTGTTTGAGGATCTCTCATAATAATGCCAAACTTGGACATGAGCTGTATGAATTCATCCAGTGTAATGTCTGGAGGCAAGCCTGTCAACATTAGGAAAAAATTTTTAATTTATAAAGGCATCTAAATAAGGGTGAAGGTTATTTAGCATTCTACTAATTAGAAAGCTACACCTTAGATGAGCACAATTTAAAATTTCTAAATGTATGTAAAAATTTAGCATATATAGAATTGAGCAAATTTCTTTTTTCAATGAATCTGAAGGGACAAACTGCCACAAGTAACCTAGAACACACTTTAAAAAGGATGGCATGTATGCAAAGTTACATACACTTAATTTTTCTTAGTTGTGTAATAAATAGCAAACATATTCCTCACTAATGTAAACAACTGAACAAAAATGGCACAATAATAACAGGCTTCAGAAAAAATGAAAATTAAAAATGACTTCGTGAAAAATATAAAAATAAAATATTTTCTACTCTAAAATCTGTTTAAAAAGGTATACATACCAGACACATATACATTTGTATTTCTGTCTTCTTCAACATGAAACCATCCTAAAAATCAAAATGAATAAATAAAACACATGCAAGAAAAGGTAAAAGTCACATTATAAAATCTTGGCATTGTGGCAGTCTCCGAAAACTTCCAGGAACTTTTTCTTACCCTGTGAACAAGAAATATTCAAACTACTGTCCAGCTTTCAATGTATTTGGCTCTTTTGACAGATAATCAGTTTCAGAACTCTGTCTAAAAAAAAAGAGCTATTTATATTTTTTTTAAAAATTTATTGTATTGGAGTGACATTTATACTGATAAAAGGATTAATATGCTAATTAGATTGGGTCAACCAGCCATCTTCCTGACATCTAACTTACTTCTGGACAAAGCCATGGTGGTTGGGGTGAAGCAGAGGCAGTTAGGGGTGATCAGGCCAGCAGGGGAGAGCAGTTGGGGATGAGATCAGGTTGGCAGGGGAAGCAGTTGGGGCAAGATCAGGCCAGCAGGGGAGCAACTAGGCCTGCAGGGGAGGGCAGTTGTGGGTGATTAGGCCAGCAGGGAAGGGAAGTTGGGGGCAACCAGGCCTGGAGGAGAGGGCTGTTGGGGGTTACCAGGCCGGCAGGGGAGGGCCATTGGGGGTGACCAGGTCGGCAGGGGAGCAGTTAGGGGTGAACAGGCAGGCAGGCAGAGGTGGTTAGGGGCAATCAGGCAGAGTGGTTAGGGGTGATCAGGCAGACTGGCAGGCAGGCAAAGTGGTTAGGGGTGATCAGGCAGACTGGCAGGCAGGCAAGCAGTTAGGGGCAATCAAGTAGGCAGAGTGGTTAGGGGTGATCAGGCAGACAGGTGAATGGTTGGGGGCAGGCAGGCAGGCAGGCAGGCAGGTAGAGGGGTTGGGGGCGATCAGGCAGGCAGGCAAGTGGTTAGGGTTGATCAGGCAGGCAGGCAGGTGAGTGGTCCCAGATTGCAAGAGGGATGTCCAACTGCTGGTCTGACCGGCAGTCAGACATTTCCAAGAGGTTTCAGATTAGAGAGGGTGCAGGCTGGGCTGAGGGGAACCCCCTCCCCACGTGCACAAATTTCATGCACTGGGCCTTTAGTTGGTTAATAAAATTATATGGTTTTCAGATGTACAATTATATAATGCATCATCTCTATATTGTATTGTGTTCACCACCCAAACTCATCTCCTTCTATCAACAATTAACTCTTTTACCTTCTCTGTACCCACATCCCCCTTTGCCTCTGGTAATCACCTGTTATCTGTGTTTATGAGGTTATTTATTTAAATTGATTTTAGAAAGAGAGGAAAAGAGAGGTGAGAAAGAGAAAACGCAATCAATTGCCACCCAAATGTACCCTGACAGGGACCAAACCCACAACCTGGGCGAGCCCTTACTGGGAAATGAACGAGTGATCTTTTGGTGCAAAGGATAATAATCAACTAAGCCACACCAGCAAGGTTTTTATTCTTAATCCCTTCACTTCTGACCCAGCCCCCAAATCCCCTCCACCCTGGCAGCTGTCAATCTGTTCTCTGTATCTATGAGTCTATTTCTATTTTGCTTTGTTAGTTAATTTTCTTTCACATAAAATGAAATCATATGGTATTTGTCTTTCTCTGAGTGGCTTATTTCACTCAGCATAATACTCTAGAGGTCCATCCATGCTGTCTCAAAGATAAGATTTCCTTCTTTTTTTTTTTACAATGAGTAGTATTTCACTGTGTAAATGTACCACAGCTTTTATATCCACTCACCTACTGAAGGGCACTTGGGCTGCTTCCAAATCTTTGCTATGATTCTGATGTTTCCTTTAAAAAAATCATCCCGGCACTGACTAGACCTTCTCATTAAGTTGCTTCTAACTGTGTTAGACACAAATCTACTGTGTTAGACATGGCTAAGCTGAAGCAAAACTGGCTTAAGTTCAATTTAATTAAACTCAAAAACTATAAAAAATAACCTTACAAACAGAACTTTGATAATCCCCCAATAATAGCTCTATTTTGCAAAAGAAAGCAACTGAGGCAAAGAATTGAAACAAACCACTCCATGCCCATAAGTTAGTGTGAGAGCCAACATATGAACCCAAATAATTTTTAAATACCCATCTCCATGATTCCTTCAGAGCCATTATAATTCTCCAAAAACACACATATTGTTTTCACACTCATGTTTTGCAAGCTAAAAAAACACTTGCCTGATTCAGCCTTCCTCTTTTCTCCTCTCTTTTTGGAATCAGTAGGTTCAGGGTTTTTTCTTTGTGGAGGTTCTTCTGCAGGCCTAGCATTAACATCTTGGACATTTGCAGTAGAGCTAGAAGCACCATCATTAGAAAAGCCATAATTGGCCTGATATGTAGCAATGAAATCTTCAGTGATCTAAACAAGAAATTAACACACACACACACACAAATTAAATTATTTTATCCTGTAAAAAGTTTACACTGCATTAAATTATAGCATATTCAACTAGACAACTTAAGATAGAAGTGTTGTGGCAATAAAGTGTAAATGCAACATCTTAGGAGTGGGGCAAACATAGGTTTACAATTGTTTGTATGGAAAAATAATACATCAATTAAATATCATTTTTAAATATGTTTTTATTGATTCCAGAGAGAGAAAGAGGAAAAAGGGAGAGGGGAGAGGGAAGAGGGGAGAGGGGAGAGGGGAGAAGGGAGAGGGGAGGGGGAGAGGGAGAGGGAGAGGGAAAGGGAGAAACATCAACTGGCTGCCATCTACAGAGATCGAACCTGGGCATGTGCCCTGCTTGGGAATGGAACCAGCTACCTCCTGGTGCATGAAATGACACTCAACCAACTGAGCCACACCAGCCAGGTGAGAATACATTAATTAATAAATAATAATACAAGAATAAACTCTGTGTTGCATACTTACAACTGTAAACCTGCTTTTGCCTCACCCTGTATATAGAAAACTGTGTAGGATAAAAAATAAGACATGGGTACTTGGATTACCAACACAAAAGTCTGAGATATTACTGTTATTATAAATGATATTGACACCTTTCTAGCTGTTTCATTTATAAATTACTACCTCTCCACAGTTACTTGAGCAAGGCTATGAGGACATGTAACAAAGGAAGTACCAGATAACAATAAAATAGAATAAAAAACAACAGCCAACTAGTAATCTAACAACAGAATTCTTTTTTAATGTTTTATTTCTTTCTTTTATAGAGAAGGGAGAGGGAGAGTTAGAAACATCAATGATCGGCTGCCTCCTGCATGCCCAGTGGGGGATAGTGCCTAAAACCCGGGTATGTTCCCTGAGTGGGAATCTAACCAGCAACCTTCTGGTTCATGATCGATGCTCAAACACTGAGCCACACTGGCCAGGCCAGAATTAATTTTTCTTTAACTACATAGATGTACAAAGTATATGTACACTAAATATTTATATATGCAAAAAGAACAGAATAGAATTTGTATTTATTGTTTTAAAAAGAGGCTAACAACAGTAAATCTAAATGCTTGTTTTAACTTTATAATGAAATCACCTTTTTTATTGTAAAAAAAACTAAGAACTAATCTAACTTACATCTACCCCGGCTTTTAGAGGGAAAAAGCACAATTTCACAATGCAAGAAATGTAGTTATGTCTTCATACCAATTGAGATAAGGCACACATAGGAATGGGAAACATTTTAACTCGAAGTTTGAAGAGATATGGGCTTCCCTGGCATAAAATGACAGAATAACAAGTTAATCTAATTATCAGACTATTGTTAAAAGAACTCAGAAAGCTGAAGAAACCAAATTTGCACTAGGGCTGGCACTATCAATACAAAAGTGAAATATAGTTGATCCTTGAACATGGGAGTTAGGGATGTCAACACCTCACTCAGTTGAAAATCTGTATATAACTTTTGACTCCCCAAGAACTTTACGTCTACTAGTAACTGACTGTAGACGAGAAGCCTTACTGATCTCATAAAGTCAATTTACACATTCTTTGTATGTTATACATAGGATAGCCCCCAAAAATGCATACACACTCTAACAGCTGGTACTTTATTTACTTTTCACTCCTTTTCAGGCTTAACTAATTTGAAATAATGGGTGAAGCCAGACCAAAGTTTGAATACAGAAAATTTATCCTAAAGCGCCACTAGACATTTTATACACACACACACACACACACACACACAGAGGAAGAGAGAGGGATAGAGAGTTAGAAACATCGATGAGAGAGAATCATTGATCAGCTGCCTCCTGCACACCCCCCACTGGGGATGTGCCCGCAACCAAGATACATGCCCTTGACTAGAATTGAACTCGGGACCTTTCAGTCCACAGGCCGACGCTCTATCCACTGAGCCAAACCAGTTTCGGTACACTACTAGACTTGTATTAATATATAAGATAATGCTTACAGTACAAAACTGGCAACAGTCAACGAAGTGAGGCTTACAAATACCAAACGAAATGATTCTTGTTTGCAATTCCATTGCTTGGCATTATAAGCAGTGCCTGGACCAGAACAGTCATTAATTTGAAAACAGGCATTGATGAAAAAATTATTCAGTTCTATTGATTCTTTTAAAATTTAAAAATGAACTATGTTAATAAACGCTGGCTTTATAATCATTCAAAGTGTGTGTACATTTTTGGGACACCCTGTATATTGTATACTGTATTCTTTTTTTAAATTGATTTTTAGAGAGAGAGGAAGAGAGAGGGAGAAAGAGAAACACCGATTTGAGAGCAAGACATCGATTGGCTGTCTATGGCACACCCCTTACCCAGGATTAAGCCCACAACCTAGGCATGTGCCCTGACTGGCAATGGAATTGGCAACCCTTCAGTGCATGGGATAATGCCCAACCATCTGAGCCACACTGGCCAGGGTGTATGCTGTATTTTTTAAGCTACAGAAATGGTAATTAAGAAAATCATAAGAAAGAGAAAATACATTTATAGTACTGAACTACATTTACTGATACCATTATGTTTATGTGATCTGCTTACAAGATGAAAAAAAATTGTGTTTAAGTGGATCCAGTTCAAACCCTGGTTGTTCAAGAATCATCTAGTACATTTAACAATTTGGAAGGATTGAAAAATACATAAACACAAAATGGTAAAGAAAGACGTTGAGTAATTTTTAAAGTTATGCAATGGAGACATGGTTTATTTCAGGCTTCCAAGTCAATTAGTGTGCTATTGGTATCCTTTTCCCCAACCATATGAGATTCTAGTTAACAGGATACTTTTTACAGAAAAGTTCATAGAACCAAGTCTAACACCAGTTGTTTTACTGAAATTAAGCTGAAGTAAAATGCTTAACAATTTCCAAATACTCTAAATAAATATACACATATATTTTCCATTCATATTTTGTGCACCTCTAGTCAGATTCCTGTGGTTATATGGTTCAAGCATGTGTCTAGGGACAAAATAGGAAAATAGAGGTGCATAATTCAATCAGTAATGCAATATAAATGGCTAAATTTGAAAAAATCAAGAAGCTGCCTTTTGCACATAGTACATAAGGTAAATATCTGAATTCCCAGGATAAATGAGGTTGGCTTCCTGCGAGAAACAGCTACCAAGCTTGTTCTTGGTGTTTTTCCTCTTTGCAATAAAAAGCAGTCACCAATGTAAGACCCAACTATGACCTTCACAGGTAAAATTAATAAGGCATAGAAAAAAAGACAAGAATTAAATTAGATGTACGACATCTCCCTAACAATTTTCGTTCCTTTACGCACCGGTTCTGCAACAACAGAACAAAAAGAAAGGCCACCACTAATGGGGGCTCTACCCCAAGACCTGGAAAAGAAAATGAGCGGCCTGCTCTGCAGGGGCACCGGCGACGCACACTTACCTTGGGGAACCAAGCTTTCTTGTCCAGGTCCCACTCGTAGGGAGTGTCATCGGGCTGCTGCCCGAAAGAATTTTCTCTCCCGGGACCTTTCTGGGTGTTTCCATACAATTGTTGCAGTCGCAACTGCTCATCGAAGTCATCTTTCCCATCCAAGCTGTTGCGGCTCATGTTGCCGACTTAGCGCAGGGGACCAGTGCAGGGGAGCTCAAAGACCAAGATGAGACTAGGAGGGGGGGATAGAGAAAAATGAGGTCTGCCAAGCTCGGCCCGGCCCTCCCCTCCCGGCTCGCCTCCCCGCAGCGCCCCAGCAGCCCCCAGGAGGTCTGGCCACGCAGCGGCCCCACGGCTCCCCCGCCCCCGCCCGTCCGCCGCCCGCGCCCGGCCGTGCAGCCGCCCACTTGCCGCGCTTCCCGGGGTCTCCGAGCAGCAATTACCCTCGGGGCGTGCGCCACCGCCTACGAAGCCCTAGAAGATTGCAAACCCCGAGAAGACGTTGGGAATGGACTTGAAAGAACCGAGGCCCGCTCACACTGACGCAGTCGCCATTGTTGGCGCGTCGAGACGTTGTGGGTCGCGCGCCGACACGCCCACGTCTGCGTCACGGAGCGCTGACGCAGTCCTGGGGGCGGGGCCTAAGGGGCGGGGCGCTAGGGGGCGTGGCCGGCTGCCGCGCGCAGGTGCCCACGCGGACCGCCCCGAGAGGGAGAGGGGCACGGGGTTTTGGGGCCCACGACAAGCAGGACTGGGCCAGGCCGGGGCGGCAGCCTGAAAGTACTGGAATATTCGCACCCGGCGGGCGGATGTCGGAGCGCCGCCATTTTGGGGGCGGTGCTTGGGACGGACTGACTTGGATGGTGTTGCTGGGAAACAGCCACGCCTCATTCGCCCAAAGGCCCCTCCTCCGCTTGGGAAATGTCTTTTAGTAGTTTCTTTCTGATTTCCTAGGATAGGCATGGGTTCTGATGCATCTTGGTAGCCTGCGCTCTTAGCATGGAGTCTGATGTCTGATGCGTTGTGAATGAAGGAGTGAACGAAGGAGCGATAGGTGGAAGCATCAACCTTGTCCAAGCCTTAGCCCCCTGCTTTATTGCTTTGGTACTTTCCTCCGGCTGACGATAGACTGGGGAAAGGGAGGGAGGGCAGCTTGCCTCTTGCACTCCATGATTCAGAGGTGCTCAAGCTCCAATCCTGAAACATAAAAATCCACATATAATAAGTGACCAGACGTCCCTCTTTTGGGGAGACAGTCCCGATTTTTAGCAATGTGTCCCGCGGCGTTTTAAAATCGGGACTCTTTTAAAACGCCGCGGGACACATTGTTAAAAATCGGGACTGTCCCGCCAAAAGCGGGATGTCTGGTCACCTTAACATATAAACACCAGCTATACTGGCCAACTAACTTCATGGTTCTTGTTTATCTTTGAGAAAGACACAGAATGTTTCTCCCCCAAACAACTTGTTTTTCCTAGAAATTACACATGTCGCTGAAAATGAAGTGTATATAACTTTTAATTGGGCGAATATTTATTGAGTTTGTGCTAAGTGCCAGGCACTGCTCGCAGCTCAAGGGAAATGATAGGGCGATTGGGAAATGATAGGGTGGGAATACTGGATGCTGGCCAACAGCAGTTCTCAAATTTTTAAATCTCAGAACCCCTTAACATGCAAAAATCACTGAAGACCTCTAAGGGTTTTTGTTTATGTGGATCATTCTTACCAATATTTGTCACACCCAATTAAAACAGCCATTTAAAATTATTTATTAATTCCTTTAAATATAATGAACCCATTATATATAAACATAAAGTTGAAGGTGGGGAAAAGTGTCCCAAAAGAAATAATTTTTTTAAAAAAATATATTTTATTGATTTTGTACAGAGAGGAAGGGAGAGAGATAGAGAGTTAGAAACATCGATGAGAGAGTCATCGATCAGCTGCCTCTTGCACACCCCCTACTGGGGATATGCCCGCAACCAAGGTACATGCCCTTGACCGGAATCGAACCCGGGACCCTTCAGTCCCCAAGCCGACACTATCCATTGAGCCAAACCGGTTTCGGCAGAAATAATTTCTTTTTAAAAATATATATATTTTATTGATTTTCTACAGAGAGGAAGGGAGAGGGATAGAGTTAGAAACATCGATGAGAGAGAAGCATCGATCAGCTGCCTCCTGCACACCTCCTACTGGAGATGTGCTCGCAACTCAGGTACTTGCCCTTGACCGCAAACAAACCTGGGACCTTTCAGTCCGCAGGCCAAAGCTCTATCCACTGAGTCAAACTGGTTACAGCAAAAAATAATTTCTACAATTTCTTTGCTTCTAAACTTCCTGACTCCCCAGTTCCTAGCTGTGTGACTATGGTTTCCACCATAACAATTATTTTTAAATCGTATCTTGGGTTTTTGGTGTATTGTTTCAATTGCATTTTTTTAAAATGAAGTTCTTGTGTTAGGAACTATTGGAGAATTGAACTTGCATGCATTTTTATAATATCTATAACATGAATTGTGTTAGGCTCATTTAAGCATCGCTAAATATTTGTTCCTGGATCCAAAAATAGTATTCAGCTGTTTTCAGCAATGTGTTATGGAATACTTTTCATTTCTGGGTGAATTGATAGATAGGTGATAATATGCTACATAGTCCTACTGCATGTAGCACTCTGAGTGCCTGCTGTATCCACAGGCTCCTCTGAGTAGGTGGTCACAAAGGTTCCTTATGCCTATGTCCTATGTGACCCAGCCACCCTAGCCCAAAGGCTATCCAGGGGCCTGTAAAGTGGTAGCCCTGCATTCTAGACAGTTTGATGAATTGAGTCAATAAGAGCCTCTCAGTGAGAGGAATGAGTCTAGAACAGACAGAGACATGGTCTAAGTAGCATAGAAGCAGAGAGGCTCATATAGGAATTGTAATAAGCAGAACAGAGGCCTGCTGTGAAGTTTCCCAGAGATGAGAGGATTAGCTGACAGTGACTGAGGGTCACTGAGTCAATATAATAGTGGAGTTGGAAGCTAAGCACACTTGTACCTACATGGTATTCTATTTCACCATGAGACCTGACAGTTATTTTTTAAACAATGCTATTGTCTGTATGAGGCCTGGCATCTCTTTGTTCTTATTTCCCTATGAATTCGTAGAATTAACTACCTAGTAACCAAGGTAATCTGGAAGCATCTCTGTCTTGGTAACCTGTCTTTTTCAAAAGTCACAGAAATACTCAAGATAATAAGCAAAAAGGGGACTCATTATTATAAAGATAGAGGATAGCTCCTGAAACTCCAGGACTAGAATGTAGATGGGCCACATGAGTGGCTGCCGAACGCAGGAAGCTAAACCTATCTTGGAACCTAGACATGTGGCTTATTTCTGAATATCTTCATTCTTCTGTCTTTGACCTCTGTAAGTGGTGATCTATGCTGTAGTCCTGGTCTGACAGACCACAGCCTTCTTGATAGATAAAAATACATTAACCTACAAAAGCAGAAACTGCTTGGCCAGATAAGTCACCTACCTGGCCCAGGGACTTTTCCTGGAAAATTACTGAACTACACCAAATGAGATTTATTTTAATGGCCTTTTCAAGCTAACTCTATTGGGGATTTTTTCTGTTCCCACTTCCTATAACCTCAAAACTTAGTGAACATAAGTAACTCTTTTTGACAAATGATTGATGGATCACTGACCTAAAGTGGTATAACTAAGAAAATTTTTAAACCCAATTTGCTATTTTCAGTAGATATACCATGTTTAATGTTTTGTGGCACTTTCAACTTCATTGACAATTACTCACTGAACATTTTGGTTATAACTAAGTCTGTTCCTTTGTTTTCCTGCATTAGAGCATAGTCATGGTTCGGGAAGACCCTGAGAAAAACTGAGAAGTATATAAAATTTTTATTATTTTTAAAAAATATATTTTATTTATTTTTTACAGAGAGGAAGGGAGAGGAATAGAGAGTTAGAAATATCGATGAGAGAAAACCATTGATCAGCTGCCTCCTGCACATGCCCCACTGGGGATGTGCCTGGAACCAAGGTACATGACCTTGACCAGAATCGAATCTGGGACCCTTGAGTCCACAAGCCGATGCTCTATCCACTGAGCAAACTGGTTAGGGCTAAAATTTGTTTTTCATGTGTCCCATCTCTCCCTCCATTTAGGAACCTTTCTAAAGAAATGAAATCTTCCATCATAATATTTATAGCACCACAATAGGCAATGACAGTGTAAAAGACAATGTAGATATTGGAGCCTACTTGTAAGGTTTGCCCTGACAAGGATAATATGTTTAAAAAAAAAAAAAAAAAGATCACCCCCTAAAAAACAAACAAAACAAAAACACCACAAAGCCACAAAGTTTAATCCCAGTCCTTTAACTCTGGAAGGGAGACTGATGCCCTATTAAACTAGGGAATTATTTTATATAAGATCCATAATTCACCTTGGGATTACTTGGAATGAAGAAAATGAAAATTCTTTGAGCTCTAGTTTTATCAACTGCTAAAAGGCCCTCTCTCTCTCGGCTTTTATAATCTGGTACCTATGTCAAGTTATTTCTAAAATGTTGTATTAGGAGAGTAAAGATATAATTTTTAACCAAAGGGAGGAAAACAATAAAATATTTGGGTGCTTTGTGACTTTAAAAAACTTAAATTTGGGGGTGGAGAAACCAAGATGGCAGCATAAGTAAACACCTAAACTGCTGTCTCCCATAACAATTTCAAAACTACAACTAAAAGACAAAACGTCTATCACCCAGAACCATGGGAAAGCTGGCAGAGTGGAAGTTCTACAACTAGAAGGAAAGATAAAAGAGCATTCAGACGTGCACAAGCACTGCAAAGCTGAGGTACGGAGGCATGTAAACCAGGCTGGTGGCGGGCGTTGCTTTTTTCAATCTGAAGGGAGACAAGCCCCCGATTACTCTGAAGTCCAGTTTCTGGGGAAATGCTGGGGACCCAAACTCCTATGGGGAGAAGCTGGACTGTCTGCCATCAGATCGGAAAGTGAGGGTGGCTTGCTTGCAGAGTTGCATGCAGGAATCATTGTTTACTGTGCTGGGGCGCAAGACGTGGTGATGCGGAAACTCAGAGATGCAAGACGGCTGACTGGCAGCCATCGCGGTTTGCCACAGCCTAGCCTAGTGACTCCCTGAGACCCCGCCCTGCACAATCTATAAACCCACCTAAGCTCCATGCAGCAGCTTTTGTATATAAATGGCCTGCCCTATCTCAGCTTAACCTAACAAATTGCATCTCTGCTCAGACAGCTCCAAAACCTCCAAACCCCAAGCAAAGAAGAGGAAACTGTAGTTCTCGCTGTAGATCCTGCTGGGTGGCCTCAGACAGTAGCTGACCTGCATCCCATTGGAGATCCAGAAGCCAGTGTACCTAGTGGTCAGTATGAGACAACACCAGATTTCAACTCTTCACATTCATAAGTGAGACCTCCAAGGAGCTTAGTGAGACCTTCAAGAATCTTAATGAGAATGCAAAAAAAAAAAAAAAAAAAAAAAAAAAAAAGGAAAAGGACCAGTCAGAAAATAATCATACACTGAAATGAAGAATATACAGAAATTCAACTGTAGATCAACGGACCCCAAGAATCAAACCAAAGATCTGAAATATGAGGAAACAAAAAACACCCAACCAGAAAAACAAAAAGAAAAAAGAATAAAAAAATATGAGGATAGTGCAAGGAGCTTCTGGAACAACTTTAAGTGTACCAACATCCGAATTATTGGGGTGCCAGAAGAAGAGAGAGTAAAATATTGAAAACCTATTAGAAGAAATAATGACAGAAAACTTATAAGGAAATTGGGGGGGGGGGGAAGAGGAGCATTTTTAGATGAACAATAAAGATTTATTTTTTTAAAAAACTTAAATTTTTGGATTAAAGTGTGTTCCCAGTTATATTCTGTCAGAGGTATTTTTTTTTTAGACCATAAAGTTATACAAAGTTATTTGAAATTTTAATATTTATTTGTTTGGTCCCACTTATTACAATGTCCAACTGAAAACAATACTAATACAATTTAGGCACCCTCACTTAAGCAAACCAATTTTACAGAAATGTAAAGTCTAGTGATAATATATATCCTCATTTGAGCCACATTATCCAAAAGTTTACAATACACAGCCATTGAAAGAAAGCTCAAAAGCACACCCGAAAAATCAAGTTTTTGAAAATGCAAATGTAGCTATCTCTAGTGTCAAACATATGCTTTAAATTACTCCAAGAAAACACTGTCTGAAATCACAAATCTAAATCTGATGTCTACTGACAACAGTTGTTTGAAATAAAAATGATTAACAAGTTTATAGCGTTAGCAAGTAGGAGCAGAGGATAGGAAACCAGAACCTTACATCTGATTTCTAAGGGCAGAGATTAAGTAGGTTATACTCTTACAGGACTTAAGCACCCCATCAGCTTTAATGAAATTAAGCAGGAAGATGATCTGATAGATAGCAACTGCACACTCAAGTGTAAGGGAGTTCATGTGTACTTCTGCATTTTTTTTAGAAAGAGGGCACTGCTTACCAGAAAGAAATGAATTTCCTTAAAGGAAGGTTTCAGACAGGCAGGCTGGCAGATTTTTAAATAGGGATTTGTCTTTCTCTGGAGCTCTCAAATGACACCATAAATGTGTCCACTTATTCTGCCTGTAAAGGCAAGTTCTTCAGTATTTGTGAACGAAAATGCTGTCCAATTATCAACCAATGGTAGTTTTAAATAAAACTACATTAGGTCAGTAAGTGTTGACCCAGTAAGGCAAGTTCCTTGTCCCAGATCCTTACTCATTGCCTTATATTCACTGACCCCAAAAACATTTTCATTGCAAGTGCTCAGGTTTAGTTATATTGGGCTACAGATTAATAGAAAAGGGCAGTCAAAAAAACCTGTTAAGGTTTATTTTTTAGGACTTTTTAAAAAAATGTATTTTTGTTGATTTTAGAAAGGAAGGGAGAAGGAGAAAGAGATATAAACATCAATGATGAGAGAAAACCATTGATTAGCTGCCTTCTTCACGCCCCCCACTGGGGATCGAGCCCACAACCCCTGCATGTGCCCTGATCAGGAATCAAACCATGACCTGGTTTAAAGGTCAACACGCAACCACTGAACCACGCCAGTTGGGTAAGGACTTTGCTTTTTAAGAAAAGTGCAGAAGAGTTGTTGTTGTTTTTTTTTTTTTTTTATCCCCTTTTCATATACAAGACATAATGTCTAGATTTACAGCACATAATAAACACAAACACAGTTTATGAAAATCACGGGAATATGTGAGTAATTAAAAGCATTATAGATGGGATGGAAACAAATTAGATTTTTAAATGTTATCTTGTTTGTTTTACCTTCCCTTCTATGCAAGCTTTCTTAGGATACACTGGCATATATAAATGTATCTTCCTAACCTAGGGGGCTTAATTTTATTTAGAAAGCCCAATAACATTAATATTTATACATTTTAAAAACCATGGTTTGTCTTTTACTTATAAGGGACATTCACTCCTAAGATTTCAACACAATTTACGAACAACAAACATCCTGACAACATACACCTACGCACAGCTCAGAATCAGATACACATGCTGGGAAGAAAAATAACCAATGTAATTTAAAAGCTAGACTTTGTCATCTTCCTTCTTCACACTACACCCAGTGAACAAAGTCACACTAATTTCAGAAACCTGTGTGCTCCCAGCACAGGGGACCCTTCCCATCACAGACAGGTTGTTAAGAGGGGTATCTGCAGGAGGAGGGTCAGGCAGCTCTGCCTTGCAACAGAATAATTGAGCTTTAAAATGCTTCTGGAAGGTTTTGCTCAGCCAGTAAAGAGCAAAGGGGTTTACACAAGAATTGCTGAAAGCCAGAACCCGAGAGAAAATGGTGATTATAAAATGAATGGCAGAGGGGTCCACGTAGGTTTGAGAAGTGAATGAGCGGTAAAGATATAAGAGGTGATTCGGCAACCAGCAGAGAGCAAACAGAGCCACCAGCACCAACACTGTTTTGGCAATTCTCTTCCGGGATTCCATCTATAAGAGGGAAGAAAAATGGCAAAAGAAAAAAAAATTCATTTAGCTTGAAGATTTAAAAAAGCCATTCTCTAGACTTACCTAGACATTTATAGTCAACAAGCTGATTTCCTTTTAAACATGCGTTTATGAGATAACTGCCTGGGATGTGTGGGAAGGCAGCTTGTGGCTATAGAATACACATGGTAAGCCATGATCTTGGTTTTATTAGCTCCAATTCAGAGACTCCCACCCCTGGTTTTGAGGTACTCTAGGATGTCTCCAATGATCTCAAGGAGTGTTATGGAATTTTGGAAATTTTAATTATATTAACAGTAGAGAGAGATACTATACAAGACTGCTTTCACTATATCAGCAGAGGCTGAATAGGTTAGAATATTATTCTGGGGTTTATGAAAGTTGCCAAGTTGGTATCAAAAACTGGTTTTAATCTGTAGCAATTCTAAATATATAGTCAAAGGAATAAATATCAATGTTCCTCCTTCATATGTGAAAAAAAATCTTATACCTATTTAATTTATTGACTTTAAGAAAGAGAAAAAGAAAGAGAGAGAAACATTGATTTGTTGACTATGCTCTAACCAACTGAGTTAGCTAGTCAGAGCCAGTCTTATACTTATTTATTTTAATGATACATTATACTATTTTGGCTCTAAGATTTGTCTTTCAACATTCATTATGAGATAAATGAGTGATGAGAAATCTGTGGTGATTTGAATCCATGAGCTTATACTTATAGAATTTATAAGTATAAATTCTATACTTATATCTGACTGCATTTTATGACATAACTAGAGGCCTGATGCAGAAAATTTATGCAAGAGTAGGCCCTCACAGCCCCTGCCACTGGTCTTTCCAGAAAGTCCTCTGGAAGGTCGTTCTGCTGTCTGGTCTAATTAGAATATTAGCTCTTTATTATATATGATGTCAGAAAGAACATGACTAAATTATCTAGAAAAAATATAAGGTAACCTATCATTATTTTTCCTTTCCAGTGAAGAAGTTATTTTTACTTCCATCTAGGAAAATTACTGTAGAGTAGTAGTGTTCAACCGAATATAAGTCACACTTTAAAAAGGTTGAAAGAAATAAGTGAGGCTAACTTTAATATTATGTTTCAAATATATTTAAAATATTACCTGATAAATTGATTAAACAAACTAATATCATACTAAGTAGTGACGTTTTTTAATGTTGTAAACTTCCAGCCTTTCGCAAAAGATTTTTCTCTAATCAAAAGAGTACTTTTAAGCCATCTTTTCTCCTGGTTCTCTTTGGTCCACTTCAAGATGGTTTACAGTTCTCTTAACTACCCTATCTAATAATCAGGGAATATGCTAATTGGCCATCACACCCTCACAAAGATGGCAGCGCCCACAGCCAATAAGGAGGGAATATGCTAATTGACTGCCACACCCTCAAAGATGGTGGTGCCCACAGCCACAAGATGGCGGCACCCAGTCCCCTCAACCCCACCATGGATTGGATGCCGGGGATTGAGTCCCCCAGTCTCCTCAACCACCCAGCTGCCCAGGGCCAGCCCAAAGCACAGGCAAACCTCAGATGGTAGCTTCCCAGCCACCCAGGGCCGCCTAAGGCTCAGGTAACCAGGGCGGGCCAAGATTTGCACTGCCAGGGGTGGCAACAGCAGAGGTGTGATGGGGCATCGCCTTCCCCTGATCACTGAGTCGCCTCCTGCCCCTGAGGGCTCCCTGATTGTGAGAGGGGGCAGGCTGGGCTGAGGGACCCCCCTCCAGTGCATGAATTTTCATGCACCGGTCCTCTAGTAATAAGAAAAACGCACCAGATGAAATGAAGGCATTGCATGTAGTCACAGATAGAGCAAAGAAACTGTTCACATAGGCATTAAATATGCAACTTTAGTCTTATGAGCACCACTGTTTAACTATTCAAATGAACCAGCTCCACAAAAGGTGCTGAGCTCTCTGCAAACATGTCAAGAGATAAATGGAATCTTCCCTCTCCCCCAAGAAATATAGAAATCCTGTTGCATTTTTAAAAATGGAACAATGTTTTGGCAACACTCTTCTTATTTGTGGGAGGAGAGCACACCTGGGTCTTGCAATAGTCTTTTTTTTTTTTCTTTTAAAACTTCCTTGCTATAGTCTTAAACAAGCGTCTGTGAATCACTGTGTTCTCTTACCACTGGCACTTCATACCTGCAGACCTCAGTTTACTCATCTGTGTGTATGTGGTTTGCACTGAATAATGTTATGGCTTCTTGCCAGTTCTATCATCCTGTGTTTTTCTTTCATTCTGTTACACTTTTAAAAACAAAATATACTTCTTTTTATAGAACCACCTTGTACAATGTTCCTCACTATTCCATTATGTAAATAATTTTGACTGCTCCCAAATTTCAGCTATCCCTTTTTAAATAATAGTAGTTCTATCATTTATTAAATTCTTACTATACACCAAGAACTATGCTAAGCATTTAATATAGAACATCCACTCCCCAGCTCCATTTCACAGACCAGGAAACTGAGGCTTAGGGAGGTTAAGTAAGTTGCTCAAGATCTCTTAGCTAGTATAATATGTGATAGAGCTGGAATTAAATTCTGGGTCTGACAGACTCCAGAGCCCATGTCTGTAACAAAATACCATACTGCTATTGTATTTATTGTTCATAGGTGCTAAACTAGGACCTTTGACTTATAAATTCATGCATGAGTCCTAATTAATACACACCTGCTTGCGGACATGTCTTTGTTCTTCAGTAGGTATGTTCAAGGTGCTTTTGTAAAGAGTCTTAGCAATCAAAGAATAATAGACAGAAATAATAGAGAGTGGAATAATGTAGAACACTAAAAAGCACAGCAGAGAATGTATCTCTTGCAAGAGCCTCTCTGAAACAGGATAAGAGGCACATGATTCAAATGTCATATTTTTGCTAGGATCACGAAAAGTATATACATTTGAAAATATAGCCTCTGGTAGAGCAATTATCATAGACATGATCCAGATGCAGCCAGCTTTGGCACAGGTCTTCAGGATGGCATTGGAAGGCTGTCGCTCCAGAGGCTTCACGACTGCCTTGTATCTAGGAACACATAAAGCAGAAGCAAAGATCAAATAAATATAAAAATTACTGACTCTCAGGGTTAAAAGTGGTCATCCAGTTCCACTCCTATCTGAATGTATATAACTAAGCCAACATTAACTACTGGAATTAGTTATGGTTTCAAATACACATAATGCATCCCAGTATTTTTTTTATTTGTGTCAATCACCTTTTCCCTTATTCACCAGTATGAGCTATTGCAGGTTTGCAATTTTATAATTTTTGTGTAGATCTTTTATTTAATACAAATAAGTTTTTTCCAGCATAATTTTATGTGTGATTGAGAGTAATTCATTACCTGTGTATTACTGTAAGTATTCTAAAATATTTTTATATCAGTGGACTGATGTTAAACCTAATTTTCCCTTCTTCATGAGTGAGCAGTCAGAATTACTAGAAAAGTAATTCCACGAAGTTATGCAGTAAAGAGGAGAGGGTTAATTTCTCCCCTGTTGAAAAGTGCTAATTTGTTGCCCAAGCAACATGTTGTAGGTAGATTTGGTGCAAAGTGAGGGAATCAGAAGCCCTGTCTGTGCCCATGCAAAGATGCCTCTTAATTCTGACATATCCACCTTAAAAATCTACAGCCTTTCAATAAATCTGTCCTCAGATAGAATATAAAAAATCAAGATAAAAAGGGCATCAGGAAAGCTTTTCCTCCTCTCAGATTCCAGAATCTGAAGAAACTATTCCTTCTAGCATTGCCAGGCATTGATTACTTATCGGCTTCTTGCCAATTTTCTTAAGCATCACTTTGAACATTTAGAGCCTCAATTTTGTTCATGTTTTCAGTTTCCATTCTGCAATAGGAATACAGAAAAACAATACTTAGACTGAAAATATCCTAACAGAGCCTGAATACTCTAACTGCCAGAGGTTCTCACATGCTTTATACACAGAGATCTAAAAGTTAAACAAGATTAATTTATTTCTCTGGAAACGACAATGTCATTGAATGCCTAAAGAGAAAACAAATACAATTAAGTGATGATACTACACTAAGTTATCAGGAAGCTGAAAACCTCACGTTTTTCTGCCACTAATTAATTTGATGAATTTTAAATAAATTAGATGTGTGTGTGTGTGTGTGTGTGTGTGTGTGTGTGTGTGTGTGTGTGTGTGTGTTTACTGGTCTTCCGGTAGTCAGTAATGCATATATGGTCAATTTCAAACTTAGGCTGATTTTTAAATGTTGACAATATTGCACCACTAGGCTGCACTAACGTATAAAGCATGAATTGTTTTTCTTTTACACCTGAAACAATTTTCCGTTATAAACTGGGTGGGGGGGATCATTCATATATTCTTTCAAGCAAACAAATTTCACTGCAGAGAGAAAACATTATCCATAAAACATACAATTTCAACCTCTCCTCTAATACTAACATAGGAAATTTAACATTCTTACACCAACTTTTATTTAAAATGCCCCCAATTGTCTATCTTACATCCAGCTTACAATATGAAAAAAGCAGAGTAGCCAGTGAATGCTAAGTATAAGCTTTCCTTTTTTCATCTCATTTCACACTCTGGCAAATATAAATGAGAAAAGAACCCACCTGTCAGCGCTGAGAATTGTTAAGGTGAACACCGATACACCAACAGAAGTGAGCCGAATGAAAGAGAGCACCTTACATCCAATTCTTCCGAACAGCCATCCTTCTGCAAGGTAATGAGTTGCATCCACCGGCACACAAGTTAGCAGAAGTAATATGTCTCCAAAAGCCAGGCTCATGATGAAAATATTTGGAACAGTTTGCATGGATTTAGTCTTGAAAAAGACTTTGATGAGAATAGCATTTCCAAGGATGCCCACTGAAATGATCACAGCATACATTATATAGATGGCACATAATGCTTCTATTCCTGGAGAGTTGTCTCCGGTCCATCCTTTATTTTTGGTATCATTAGGAACAACAGAGCTGGATGATTCTGTATCATTAGAGATTGAAATGAAAGTCTGATTAGGTGACTGAGGCTGTCTTTGAGGCATCTCTTCTGAAGACTATGCTTGTAATATTTCTTCTGTTCAGTTCAAGTGTGGTTGACTGTCACATCTAATGCCCATGTCTAGTGATGAGATGTTAGAGGAACACAGCAGAATGGCAAGCAAATTCAAGACATCCGGATACTGCTTTCCGTCAGTTTTTCTGTGTCTCCCAGCATGCTTGGCTAAGTGCTTACGAATCTGGCACTTGAAGAGTCAGAGGTGGAGGAGTTTTATTGGTGTTTCTGTGACAGAATGAGGGGGGTTGGGAAATGCTCTGCAGTTGCTTATTCTTCCCTGTTGGGGAACCTTATGAATAACAAGATATGGATAGTATAGAATAATACCTATTGTTTACTAGAATCAATCTGTTTCCATACTGAACCATCAAAACCTAAATAGATCTTGTCACTTTTCTATTGGGGCTCATCATTCACTTTTCTGCAATCAGAGGATGGTCTAATGCATTCTTTTACATGATAACTAAGTACGTATGTTCCCTGAAGCACAAACTTGAATCCACTTCTCCATACTTTGTATCAGTGAGGTGCTGGAGCAAACATCACTCACATGTTGACAGGGCTGATGTCACCTCCAAGGAGGGATAATTCAGGTGACCTGGGCTTATCACTTTGTTCTGACACATGGTAATTCCCAACTTTGTGCATATTACTTGTGCTGCACTGCACAATTGCAAAGCAACCTTTATGAGATGAAAATGCAGGCAAACCACCAGTTTCTTTGTCCCTAAATGTCCTAATAAAACAGTTTTTACTGTTTGACTGTTTGCTTTAAAGATGTTTATTTTTAAATACTTTTTAGCATTTTTCTTTAGAAATGAATCTGCCTACAAAACAAAATAACACAGAATACAGCTTAAGGTACACAGAAAGACTTGTAAGAATGAAAATCATTCTTTTCAAGTGAGGGAATGTCATAGGTTACTCCAGAGGTGACAAGTATATAGATGGTATCACTGGAAGGAGGCAGAAAATTAAGATAATTTACCTTAGTACCTGCAAGAAAAGGCCTTTGTAACAGAAAATGTGATTATGTGATTTATGTGTGTATGTGGGGTGGGGGGTTGTCTGGGAGTGGGCAGCCAACAGTTTGAAAGCATTTAATAATATAACCTTCTAAAAAAAAGTATTTTCTGAAATGATCAATTTCAAAGGATAATCTCTCAGCTAGGAGAAACTTTTTGTAGTAAGGCGTTTATAAATATATCTATATAAGAATTAACCTGGGGAGTAAAATGAAAAGCTAGCCAGTGAACAGCAGGGACAAAGAAAGGTTGCTCTTTATACTGACAGAATAGTTGTAATAAATTCTACAGGGAAAACTTATTGGATGAATTGAATCAATTATCTGGTTAATTGATCCACCTAAACCACATCTATCCTCTACCCTTTATGAAATTATCTCCAAAGCTTAAATTACTCAGTTAAATAACTGTTTTAATGGGAATGGGGAAGGGAAATGTTTGGGTAAAACCAAATCCCTTAGTTTTAGTATATACACTTAAGTAATTTCATGGTTCATATCTTGTTTCAACAAACCTAATGATAAAATTTCTCTGGGATTCCTACATATCATTTAGCAAAGAGCAAACAATATCTCCCAATTCACACCTCAACTGATAGCCACACAGCAAGAAACAAAGCCTGCCAGTGATTTCCCAAATCATCTGGATTCCAAAGATCTAGGGCATGCTTTTAATCAGCCTGCACCCACCAGCCTGTGTTTCCTCCTCCTTCTTCCTTCTAGTCAGGAGAGGTCAGGAGAGAGCAGTGATATTAGGGTGCTCTTGGTGCAATGGAGTTCTTATCGCTAGAATCCTAGAATCCCAGAATATCAGAGATTGAAGTGACCTAAAAGATGATAATATCCAATCCTCTATCTTTTCAGAGGCAGAAACGAGGTTCAGAGGGGGAAAGTATCTCATGCAAGGTCACACAAGTATTCTGTAGCTGAGATGAAATAGGTTGTCATCTCAGCTACAGAATACTTTCCCCCTCTGAACCTCATTTCTGCCTCTGAAAAGATAGAGGATTGGATATTATCATCTTTTAGGTCACTTCAATCTCTGATATTCTGGGATTCTAGCGATAAGAACTCCATTAAACAGTTGTAATACATTTTTCCCCAAATTTTATTTAATGATTTTTTTACAGAGAGGAAGAGAGCCGGATAGAAAGTTAGAAACATCGATGAGAGAGAATCATCCATCAACTGCCTCTTGCACACCCCCTACTGGGGATGTGCCCTCAACCAAGGTACATGCCCTTGACCAGAATCGAACCTGGGACCTTTCAGTCTGCAAATCGACACTCTATCCA